GCCAGGCTTTGGGTGGGTGCTGGGAGTTTTTCCTGTCCATCCAGGGACCCCCGCGGGACCCCGGGGGCGCTCCTGCCTGGTGGGAGCCGCACAAGGCCCCGTGGTCTCTGTCCCTGAGGTCCTCCCCTGGGAGGGGGGGCGAGGAGGAGGGCGGGCTGTCATGCAGACCCTCTCCACAGGGCAGGAATGGCACCTTCGAGCTGTTTCTGGAAGGCCCTGACGCCCCAGCCTTCAGCGTCTCCCCTACGCGAGCCGCAGGCTCAGCCGACGTTCAGGTGCTGGTTAGAGACTCCGAGATGGTGGATTACGAGAACAAGACGGTGATGATGGTGCAGGTGAGGGGCGATCGGGGACACTGGGGGACGGCAGCCACGGGCCGCCAACCCATCGGGCACGGAGGCGGCCACGAAGGGCCTGGTATTGTCATTCGGCCTTTCTTACTTGTCGGTGGTGGGGCTTGAACTCTGGGCCTGGGTGCTGTCCCTCAGCTCAAGGCGAGTGCTCTACCACCTGAGCCACAGCGCCACTTCTGGTTTTCTGGTGGTTCCTTGGAGATCAGAGTCTCACGGACTTTCCTGCCCGGGCTGGCTTTGAACCCCGATCCTCAGATCTCAGCCTCCTGAGTTAGCTAGGATGACAGGCGGGAACACCGGTGCCCGGCTAGTGTTGCCTGTTCTGTCCTTAGGTGGTGGCCACTGATGTGGTGAGCAAGAACTCTTCGGTGGCTTCCGTGACCATCCATCTCAGAGACATCAATGACCACCGGCCTACCTTCCCCAAGAACCTGTATATCTTTGAGGTGCCAGAGCATAGCCCCCCGGGCTTTGTGGTCACCAACACCACCCTGGTGAGTGAGATGGGGTGCGGGCCAGGCCTGGCTGGGTGGAGGGAAGGTTGGACCCAGAAGTAGGAGCCCGTGGCTCTGCAGGGAGTGTCTGCAAATGCACGTGGCACCTACCTTTCTTGGTGTCAAGAAGCGTGGCGGGGATCAGGGAAGGTGGCTTAGGGGTAGAGCGCTGGCCTAGCATGCATGAAGCCCCGGGTTCGATTCCTCAGTACCCCAGACACAGAAAAAACCAGAAGTGGTGCTGTGGCTCAAGAGGTAGAGTGCTAGCCTTGAGTGAAAGCAGTTCAGGGACAGTGCCCAGGCCCTGAGTTCAAGCCCCAGGACTGGCTCAGAGAAACAAAACAAAGCATGGGAGCTAGCTTCCCATTTGCAGTGATTGCCCGTGTGTCCCCACACTGTCCCTTTACCGCTCTGTTTTCGCAGGCTACCGACCCTGACACAGGCGAATGGGGCCACATCACCTACAGCCTGCTCCCAGGAAATGGGTAAGGGGGACAGGGAGAGGGGCTGAGAAAATGTAGGACTCTCAGTGACATCTCCATTCTGGAAAGACAATGAACAATTAAAGAAAAAAACAAAGTGATTCATCTTGTTTTCTGTCACTATACTGGCATGCCTGAGGCCGCACATGTTATGAAGAGAAGAGGTTTGCGTAGATCACAGTTCTAGAAGTCCAAGGGCCTGGCGTGGGCATTGGCTCAGCTCACGTGGGGACTTCCTGGTGGGTGGCGTTAAGGTAGCCGCAACTTGGGAGAGATGACATGAAATCCAGGAAATCCAGCAGGGCGTTGATAGCTCACGCCTGGCATCATAGCTGCTCAGCAGGTCTGAGGTGCGTGGGTTCAAAGCCAGCCTGTACAGAAAAGTCCACGGAACTCTTATCTATAATTATAACCACCAAAAAAGCCGGAAGTAGAGATAGGGCTTAAGTGGTCGAGTTAAAGCCTTGAGCAAAACAGTTCAGGGATAGGACTAGGAAGGTGGCTCAGTGGTAGAATGTTTGCCTTGCATGCATGAAGCCCGGGGTTCCATTCCTCAGCACCCCAGATGCAGAAAAAGCTGGAAGTGGCGCTGTGGCTCAAGCGGTAGAGCGCTCGCCTTGAGCTGAAGAGCTGAGGGACAGCGCCCAGGCCCAGAGTTCAAGCCCCAAGACCGACAACAAAACACAAACCCTAGTGCCTCTGTTGGCAGACATACTGACTCTGATCACCCCGAGCAGGGTGGATCTCTTCGAGGTGGACCCGGACACGGGGACCGTGACGGTGAGAGACAGCTTGAATCTGGACCGAGAGCAGCAGACGGTGTATTTCCTCACTCTCCAGGCCACCGATGGCGGCAACCAGGCCTCCACCACCATGCTGGAAATCCACCTTCTGGACATCAATGACAATGCCCCCGAGGTCATGGGTTCCTACAACGTCTTTGTCCAGGAGGAGCGTGGCAATGTGTCCCTGACCATCCTGGTAGGTGTGAGCCACCCTGGAGTTGGTGCATGAGCTGGAGAAGGAGATCAAGGGATCGAGGCCTTTGGCTGGGTGCCGGTGGCTCACGCCTGTCATCCTAGCTACTCAGGAGGCTGAGATCTGAGGATCTCAGTTCAAAGCCAGCCAGGGCAGGAAAGTCTGTGAGACTATTATGTCTCAATAACCACCAGAAAAAGCTGGAAGTGGAGCTGTGGCTCAAATGGTAGAGCGCCAGCCTTGAGCAGAAAGAGAAAAAACGAAGCAAGAGCACAAGGTTCAAACCCAAGTCCCAACACACACACACACACAATTGATTGATTTATTTTCTTTTTGAAATGGGCTTCACAAACCTTGGCCAGGCTAGCTTGGATACAGGTCTCTGACTGAACTCCTCCTGCCTCTGCCTTGGCCTCTGTCTGGGATTACAGGCTTGCACTACAGAAGTAGGCTGCTGTTATTCCTATATGTTCGCTTTAATTTTGCATATGTGCAATATTCCGAATATTTGGATATCTGTAATATGCAAACGGGGTCAGCTCCATGAGGCATTAATTATGGGTCTCTTGCTGATCAGAGCTAGAGAAGCAGAGAGGACGATAAAGATGTATGAAGAAATGACTGCAGTGTTCTTCAATGCCTTATTTATGTCTTTCTTTTTGGTGCCAGTTCTTGGGTTTGAACTCAGTGCCTGGGCACTGTGTTTTCTGTTGTTGTTGGTCGTGGGGCTTGAACTCTGGGCCTGGGTGCTGTCCCTGAGCATTTCAGCTCAAGGCGAGCGCTCTACCGCTTGAGCCACAGCGCCACTTCTGGTTTTCTGGTGGTTTATTGGAGATACGAGTCTCACAGACTTTCCCACCTGGGCTGGCTTTGAACCGCGATCCTCAGATCTCAGCCTCCCGAGTGGCTGGGATGACAGGCGTGAGCCACCGTGCTTGGCTCCAACGCTCTCCGGTGAGCCGGGGATCTGAGCTGCTCAGCTGGGGCTGGGAGAAGGTCATCTTGGCACTGGCCAGTCCCAGGCCTGATGCCCTCCTTGCTTCTGTAACAGGCCCAGGACAAAGACCAGCCAGGCACCAACAACAGCCTCTTGATCTTCACCCTGCTACCAGGGCCCTACAGCCACAACTTCTCCCTGGATCCCCGCACAGGCCTCCTCACGAACCTGGGGCCCCTGGACCGAGAGGCCATTGACCCTGCCCTGGAGGGCCGCATCGTTCTAGGGGTGCGGGTGTCTGATTGCGGGGTGCCCCCTCAGAGCACGGAGGTCAATGTCACCATCACGGTGGAGGTGAGGCTGCTCCCGGGGGGGCCCCCTGCAGGGGGCACCATCTCCTCCCCTGCGGGAACCCTGGATCTGAGCGTTGGGCAGCCTGTGGCCAGTCTCCAAGTCTTGGAGGAAGGGGGAAGGGAGAGGTGGGGAGGGGGGAGGGGAGGGGGGGCTTCTTAGACTGGAGTGGGGAGGGTGGGCAGGGCGATGGGAGGGTCTGGAGCTTAGATCTTCCTCTGCCCACACACAGGACATCAATGACAATGAGCCCATTTTCAACCAGTCCGGCTACCAATTCCCTGTGGCGGAGCGAGAAGCAGGTAAGTCTGTCTGGGCCCAGGCTGCTGGGGCTGGGGCCCAGGGTGCTGGGGCTGGGGCCCAGGGTGCTGGGGCTGGGGCTCTGGGTTGGAGAGAAGCATCTGCAGGTGAAGGCTTCATTACCAGGCCTGGCGTGTCATCAATACGGTTCATGCTCTTATCTCTGAGGCTGTGGACAAGACACAGCGTACGATAGACTCAGGAATGGACTTCCCTGTCCCACGGCTCACCCCCAAATAGCAAAAAGAACCAGAGTCCCACTTCTGACCCCCCCCCCCCAAATCACTAAAAGAACCATAGACTCAGTGGCTCACACCTGTCATCCTAGCTACTCAGGAAGCCGAGATCTGAGGTTCCAGGTTGGAAATCAGACAAATCCAAGAGATTATCTCCAGTTACCCAGCAAAAGGTTGGGAATGGGGGTACGGCTCAAGCAGTAGAGCACTAACTTGGAGTGGAAAAGCCAATGGAGATCAAGCGTGTACGCACGCACACGTGCGCACGCACACACACAGTTCTTTTCTTTCTAGTTCTGGGGTTTTGAACTCAGGGCCTGGGTCCTATCCCTGAGCTTTCTTTTGCTCAAGGCTAGCACTCCATCACTTGAGCCACAGTACCATTTCTTTTCTCTTCTGTCGGTCATGGGTCTTGAACTTTGGGCCTGGGTGCTGTCCCTGCGCTCTTCAGCTCAAGGTGAGCGCTCTACCCTTTGAGCCACAGCGCCACTTCTGGTTTTTTGGTGGTTTATTGGAGATAAGAGTCTCCAGGACTTTCCTGCCTGGGCTGACTTTGAACCACGATCCTCAGATCTCAGCCTCCTGAATAGCTAGGATGACAGTTGTGAACCATGAACAACTCCAACCACAGGACCGCCCCCCCAAGAGCAAAAGAGCTAAAAGGGGCTTCTGCTAACCGGGTCCGGGGGACCCCTGCTAACTCTGTCTGTTGTTCACAGGCATATGGGTGGGCACAGTGGAGGCTTGGGACGCAGACCAGACGGAGGCCAATAACCGAATCAGCTTCAGCCTGTCTGGCAGTGGTGCCAATAACTTCCTGCTCCAGAGCTCAATGCTGGGGTCCGGGAGGGCGGAGGGCCGGCTCCGGCTGCCCCCCGACGTGAGCTTGGACTACGAGACGCAGAATTTCTTCCAGCTGACCGTGCATGCCGAGAACCCAGGCCCCCAGGGGCCGGAGGCCACGGCCGACGTCCAGGTGATCGTGGAGGATGTGAACGATGAGCCACCCACCCTGGTGGCGGCTTCTCTCCAGGAGATCTCCGTGGCAGAGAACGGCTCTCAGCATGGCCAGGTGGCAGAGATCCAGGCTCAGGATGTAGACACGGGAGCCCGGCTGGTGATCGAACTGGTGGACGTCATCTGTACCAAGGCCGGGCTGGACGTGGGCAGCCTGTGCCACGGGTGGTTCTCGGTGAAAGCCAATGGCTCCGTGTACATCAACCAGAGCGAGGCCATCGACTTTGAGGCCTGTGATCGGGTCATGCTGGTTGTGCGGGCCTGTGATCTCGACACGGATCCCCGCTTCCAGGCCTACAGCAACAATGGTGAGAGTCGGGGTACGATCGCAGCTCAGGGGCTGCGGGACAGAGTGGGGTGCGATGCCTGGGGTCCTTCCCAGGGGGGGGTCGATCAAAGTCGTCTCCCAGCCTCAGTTTCCCCAGCTGCCCAGGGGAGCCAGGCATTAACCAATGGAGGATGTACATATGGGTCATTTAGGTGGAGCTGGGCATACAGATCTGATCTGATGCGGCAGTGGGAAGGAAGATCTGTGTTCAAATCTGGCCATGAGCCAGGAGACAGGGTGATAGCCCAGACCCAGACCACCGCCTAGCAAGTAGTTTATGCCCTGCACAAGACACGAAACCCCCCTTCTTTTCTTTTTTGGTCAGTCATGGGGCTTGAACTCTGGGCCTGGGCGCTGTCCCTCAGCTCTTCAGCTCAAGGCGAGCGCTCTACCACTTGAGCCACAGCGCCATGTCCGGTTTTCTGGTGGTTCATTGGAGATAGGAGTCTCGTAGACTTTCTTGCCCAGGCTGGCTTTGAACCCAGATCCTCAGATCTCAGCCTCCTGAGTAGCTCGAGGACAGGCGTGAGCCACCACAACCACCATTTTGCTTTTGTTTTTCCTCTGCTTTATGATCTGCCTTCTCTTCCTCCCTTCCCTCCTTCCATTTCCTCTTGCTTTTCTTCCTCTCCTCTGCTCCTCTCCCTCCCTTCCTCCCTCCTTTTCTTCCTCCCCCCCTCCCTCCCTTTCTCCCTTCCTTCCTTCCTTCCCTCTCTCCCTCCCTCCCTCCTTTCTTCCTTCCTTCCTCTTTCCTTTCCCTCCCTCCCTCTCTCTCTCCCTCCCTCTTTCCCTACCTCCCTCCTTCCCTCCCTTCCTCCCTTCCTTTCTTCCTTCCTACCTTCCTCCTTTCCTTCCTTTCTTTCTCCCTCCCTTCCTCCTTCCCTCCCCTCCTCATCCCCTCCCTTTCTTCTTCCCTCCCTCCTTCCCTTCCTCTCTCCCTCCTCTCCTCCCTCTTTCCCTTCCTCCCTCCCTCCCTCTCTTCCTTCCTTCCTTCCTTCTTTCCTTCCTTCCTTCCCCTCCCTTCCTCTCTTCCTTCCTTCCTTCTTTCCTTTCTCCCTCCCTCCTTTCCTCCCTCCCTCCTTTTCTCCCTTCATCCCTCCCTCCCTCCCTCCTTCCTTCCTCCTTTCCTTCCTTCCTTCTTTCCTCCCTCCCCCTTCCTTCCTTTCTCCCTCCCTCCTTCCCTCCCCTCCTTCTTCCCTCCCTCTCTCCCTCCTTTCCTCCCTTTTCCCTCCCTCCCTCCCTCCCTCCTTCCCTTCCTTCCTTGCTTCCTCCCTCTCTTCCTCTCTCGATCCCTCCCTAACCCCTGTCCCTCCCTCCCTCCCTCCCTTCCTTCCTTCCTTCCTCTCTCTTCCTCCCTCTCTCCCTCCCTAACCCCTGTCCCTCCCTTCCTCCCTCCCTCCCTCCCTTCCTTCTTTCCTTCCTCCCTCTCTTCCTCCTTCCCTAACCCCTGTCCCTCCCTTCTTCCTCTCTTAGTCTCCTCCTCCTTCTGAGACAGTGTCTCTCTCAGTGGTCCAGGCCAGTTGGAACTGGACAGCCTCCAGCCTCCCGCCCCCTCTGCTGCCGGGCTTACAGGTGTGCTCAGGGGCGCCGTCCCTAGGTCCAGTCCCAGCGCAGCCCTCTTGGCTCACCTTGACGGCTGGCTGTTTGCCGGTCCGGTCTAGGGGAGAGAGTCCCCGCCATGCAGGGAAGGGGAGGCTGGGGAGGCCCAGGCCTCTGCTCAGGAGCCCTTCTCCCCAGGGACCCTGGGCATCACCATCGAGGACGTGAATGACAACGCGCCCCACTTCCTGCTGGACAACAAGACCTTCGGTAAGGGAGCTGCACCCCCCCCAGCCTCCACCCTGCCCTTCCGTGCGGGCCTGTGCCACAGGACCAGTTGGCAATGCCCACAACCAGTCCTGAGGCTGCAGGATCCTCATGCTGTATGTATAGGCCTGTCCTGGGATTTGAACTCAGGGCTTCAGGCTCTTGCTCAGCGGCTGGCACTCTACCACTTGAGCCACACACTTCCCTTGCGGGCCTGGCCTTGACCCACGATCCTCAGATCTCAGCCTCCTGAGTCGCTCCGAACCATCTGGCCATACAAGTGTCCATTCCAGCCCGGACTTATCTGCTGTTTGGCTTGGAGCCAGGGTTTCTCTGTTTGGGCCTCAGTTTCTCTATCTGCACAGTGGGAGGGAGTGACTAGGGGCTGCTGGATTGGGGTCTCTTTGGGCAGAGGTGTTGAGGGATGGTAGGCCTGGAGCCCGCTAGTGGGCAGGGCTGGGCCAGGTGGGCAGAGTTCCCACCTCCTGGACCCCGCCCCGCCCCATCCTGACCCCGCCCCATCCTGACCCCGCCCCATCCTGACCCCGCCCCGACCCCATCTTCTCATACCTACAGTCATTATCCCAGAGCTGGTGATCCCTGACCAGCAGGTGGCTTACGTCCAGGTGAGTGTTTTACTGCCCCACCTCTGTGGTTGTGTTCACTGTTGGGGTTACAAAGAGAGGAGGCTGGGAAGCTTTTTAGCACCCCACACCCCCGAAATGTCTCAACCTCAGAAAGGAAGAAAATGGTTCCCAAGGTAGGGAAAACGGAGCCCAAGGGGAATTGTGTGTGTGTGTGTGTGTGTGTGTGTGTGTGTGTGTCCTGGCTTGAACTCAGGGCCTGGGCGCTGTCTCTGAGCTCTTTTGCTCAAGGTAAGCACTCTACCACTTGAGCCACAGCGCCACTTCCAGCTTTTTCTGCTTATGTGGTGCAGAGGAATCGAACCCAGGGCCTCATGCATATGAGGCAAGCGCTCTACCACTGAGCCACCTTCCCAGCCTGCACGTCTGGCTTTTTTAGTGGTAGCTGGAAATAAGAATCCCAACGACTTTCCAACCTGGGGTTGGGTTGGGTTCAAACTGGGACCCTCAGATCTGTTTCCCGAGTAGCTGGGATTACAGGCCACCCTGCCGCACCTGCTAGTTGCCCTCATCAGATTTCCCTAATCGTTCAATTTGCTATTCATAAAGATTTCATGACCATCAATAGCACTTTGCCAGCTAGAATATTTTTACCCCTCCTCACTACACAGGAATGCTGGAATATGATGATGAGCTCCCAGGCAATTATAAATTAAATGAGTTCCTTCTACTTAATTCATTTCCCCAGGACAAAATTCTAATAATGCTTTCAATTTGTTCTGAGTGAAGCTGGGTGTGTGTATACTAGAGGATGTTGGCTCTCTGTGTGGGTTGAGTCCCTGGGGCTGGGTCTAGCTGCTGGGGCCTTTTACTGACCTGCAGAACTGCCTTGCCTCTCTGAGACTCAGTTTCCCTTTTATATTTCTTTCTCCCTCCTTCCCACCCCCTCTCACTCTTCTATCTCTTAAGAAGAGCTTGTGCTAGCTGGGCCCTGGGTGGCTCACATTGGTAATCCTAGTTATTCAGGAGGCTGAGATCTGAGGATCATGGTTCAAAGCCAGCCCAAGCAGGGAAGTCCATGAGACTCTTCAATTACCCATGGAAAAGCCAGAAATGGAGCTGTGGCTCAAGTGGCAGAGCACCAGCCTTTAGCGAAAAAAACGAAGAGCACCCAGGCCCTGAGTTCAAGCCCCAGGATGCCAGGATGGTTGGACACACAGACTCACAGACTTACAGACACACACACACACACACACACACACAGGCTTGTGCTTACTTAATGTGGGGGGCACTTAGAGAGCTGTGGAGAGGGTGGGTACTGTGTGGACCTCCCAGAACACTGCTGCCACTGATCCCTGGGAAAGGGGTGTCCGGCTTAGCCCCCCCCACAAATATGCTAACCTTTTGTTCCCAGGCCAGAGATGAAGATTCGGGAGCCAATGCCAACATCAAGTTCTCTCTCCTCCGGGTGGATTTTGTCTCTCAGGATGGGACCACCACCCCATTCAATAACTACTTCCAGATCTTCACCACGTCAGAGGCCGGCGTGTTTACCGGCAGTATCCAGTAACTATGATCAGCAACTGGATTTTGGGGAGGGGGTTGGGGGGAGGGCAGGGGAGGCTTGAGGGCACTAAGCCCTGCCCCTCCCCCATCCCGGAATATGCACCAGTGAGTTCCAGAAAGGTTTAAGCTGGTCCCCAGGATTGAGCTGGGAGGGCAGGGGTATGTGTGTGTGGGGGGGAGGGTGGGGGGGTGGCTCACACCTGTCATCCTAGCTACTCAGGAGGCTGAGATCTGAGGATCGCAGTTCAAAGCCAGCAAGGGGCAGGAAAATGTGTGAGACTCTTATCTCCAGTGAATAACCAGAAAACCAGAGGTGGTAGAGCGAAAAAGCTCAGGGACAGCACCCAGGATCTGAGTTCAAATCTCACAACCCACCCTCCCTCCCTTCCCCCCAATAAAAGGATTGAGCTTTTCTTTTATTGGTCGTAGGGCTTGAACTCTAGGCTTGGGCGCTGTCCCTCAGCTCATCAGCTCAAGGCGAGCGCTCTACCACTTGAGCCACAGCACCGCTTCTGGTTTTCTGGTGGTTCATAGGAGATAAGTTTCTCACAGACATTCCTGCCCGGGCTGGCTTTGAACCACGATCCTCAGATCTCAGCCTCCTGAGTCACTAGGATGACAGGTGTGCGCCATTGGCACCCAGCTTGAGCTATGTTTTCTTCCAACCTCCAGGCTGGTAACCAGCTTGGATTCCACTCTCCAGGGCACTTACCAAGTGACAGTTCAGGCCCGGGACCACGTCTTGGACAATGTGACCCACAAGACTCAAATCACCCTGAATGTGAGTGGTGTGTTGGTCCCTGCCTCCAGCAATCCCAGCCCCCCCCAAACGCCTGGGCTCCCCATGGCTCATCCCCCGCCCCCCACACCCCTAGCTGTTCACGGTGGACCAGAGTTACCGCGTGAGGCTGCAATTTTCCACCAGCAAAGACGAGGTGGGCGCCAACGTGGAGGACATCAAGGCGTAGGTCTGGGGGACACAGGAAAAGGGGGGGACTGTGGGAAGCATTGAGGGGTGCTAGGAGATGGATCCCCCCAACAAGACTTGGATAGACTGCTTGCCTCTCCACTCTGCCCCTTACTCTGTCACCCCTGGACTTGGATCTCCTTTCTGTGTGTCCCCAAAGCTCAGGCCGCGGGCCAGAGGCACCGAGAGCTGGGAACAGAGCCGCCATGTTTGGTGGTGACGGTTGGGTATTACCCAGGCGCGCTCTGCTCCCCCAAAGCAAACCCTGAACCCCAGAGGGAAGGCTTTCCTGCCCGAATTTACACAGGTGCCATTTGTGTAGTCCGCAGATAGGGGTTCCGGGGCCTGAGCCAGGGGCCCCCCCCCCAGCTCTCTGAAGCCTGTGTTTTCTGCAGGGCACTGGCCCAAGCCACCAGGACCAGCGTCTACGTGGTGGACATTCAGAACATAAACCCCGCAGCCCGGTGAGGGCCTTACAGTGTGGGTGGTGGGGTGAGGGCGAGGCCTGCCATGGTCCTGGGCTGTTTGACCCCCCCTGACCCCCACTTCCCTGCGTTCCAGAGCCCAAGCCGTCTCCTACCTTGATGCCTACTTTGTGTTCCCCAATGGGACCGCGCTGACACTGAACCAGCTGAGCGTGTGAGTGGGTGGTGGGGCCTGGGGATGGGGTGGTGCCACCCCGGGACCCCGGGGGGGTCTTGGGGGGGGCAGCAGGCCCCGGGGGACCTCGGTGCCCCTGGGTCTGAGTACGATTGCGATTGTGTGGCAGGATGATCCGGAGAGACCAGGACTCCCTGACACAGCTGCTCAACATGGGGCTGGTGGTCCTGGTGAGGGGGGGGGAGAGAGGGAGGGGAAAGGGGAGGGCGAGGGGGACCGGGAGGGGGGAGGAG